CTACAGCCTCTGTATAACCAACCAGAACATCGAGTTCCAAATCTCATTATAAAAATATAAAAAAAAAACAGTTCACCCATTACTCAATCAATTAGCCAAGCATGAATATGTTTAATTACAACGTCTAACCGCATTTGTGTAATAGCCGTATGCGTTTTGACATAACAATCGAACGGGATCTGTCAAAGTTACAAACGAACTTGTCAAGCTCAACACTGGAAGCATGTCAAGCAATTTCTAAACGTTGACAGCGTTTTATTATCGTAAACCTGATTAGACATCCATGATCTGCACTGTAACGTAAAATAAATATTTAACACAATTACCACAAAAACACCATTCACTTGTTGGTCACTGGATGTATATAAAAAAATCCTTTTTTTTTTTAATTACAATATATTTTTTTAATTCGAACTGACACCAAATGAGCGTGGTTTCGATTTAAAATTTGTCACGATCGAACGCGACGCGTGAGGCGTGTAGACGGCGCGTGCGCAACGTTCGCCACACGGATTTTAACTGTTTACCGCCGCAACGAGTCAGTATTTTGGTTCATATCTTGTACTAGGGGCAGATAAAAAGGAAAAATAAAAGACAACTTAGCAGGAATTAGACTTTTTCAAATTTAGAATTACAGAACACAATGTGGTACTTTGAGCACAGGATTCGGTTTTGTAACTCCTGTGCCTTAGGATGGATACAAAAAGATAAATTGGCGTGAATGCATGAACAAACTTCGAATTTAGAAAAGTGAACAATAAAATTGGGCAAGGAGATTATTTGAAAACTTTTTTTTTTATAACAAAGCTCGAGGGCTAGTATGTATACAATCTATTTTATACATGAATGAATTCTATAATTTACAAGCGGATGCACACTTCATCGGTTGCCACCCTAATGTAATACCACTGGTCCTGTCTCATACATAACATAACAAACATATAACTCTCATTAATATTTTATTTGAATAATGGAATAAAACGTTTATTCCATTATTCAAAAGATTTCATAAAAAAAGAAATCTTTTCGAGATTGTAAAGGATATAAAATTTATTTTGCTTATCACAGTATAATTTCTTAGAAACTACAGGATGGATTGAATCTGGACAATTTGGATACTTATGCAATTTGTTGATCCAAAGACAACTTTAATTGATTTATAACTTATTTAAAGGAATGAGTAACATAAAGGCCTCTTTTGAGAAGTAAATTAAAAAGTATAGTTTTGTAAACTACGAGTATAGGTATTATGTGACATTTCAAGTGACCAATAAACCCTTTTATTGTGATGAAATATTTAGAAAATATCTGTCGATTTTCTTTATTACACGGCTTGACTGTAACATAACCGCAAAGTATATGATTTAGTTTGCATTTACAGTTTATTTGAACGTTATATCTTTTTACGAAATCAAAGTTTATAGTTTTGGTTTTACGCGCCATCTTAGGGGCTGCACCTAAACTGTTATATATAACACCGTCTTCTTTGATAGCAAATTACATAATACAATAACAAAACTATCAATTAAAAAAAAACATATTTTGTTGAAATTAAATTCAAAACCAATGAGACACAATGATTATCCTATTACACATGATATGGAATAGTTAAGTGTTTATTTTAAAACGGGATAACATATGAAAACTATGAAAACGTTCTTAAGAAACTGTTCATACTGACTAATATTTTGTTTGTCCGTCAAGTAAATTATTAAATAATATTATTTTATACATAGAGTTAAAATGTCGCACGAGTCACACCTGCGTACATTTTCTACAAAGTTGTGACGTAGCGAGTAGCGACTCAACTTTAATGCCTATTATCTACAACATTTCTTGTTATATTAAAGCAAAAAAATACGTATCCAATATTTTTCGACAATTCGACTGACGGACTAAATAGATTGATTTTTCAGGCATAATCCCTATTTATCAACATTAAGATGTACCTGGCAACGCAGGAGAGGAGGAAGATACCAACGCATCCTTTTATCGTTCAGAAAATATTTAAAGCCACCTACCTGGCGATTAAGACGGTGACTTGACTTGTTCCACTATCTAATCGAGGCTCCGTGTAATCAACAAACAGCGATGTCAAACATTACGTTACCTACCAAAGTCTTAGCTTTTTATAAGTGGCGGTAAAGCTTTGAAATGTAAACTTTCTAGATCAGACATCATTGCGTTATAACGGAAGACGACTTTTGCCATTTCTTGACACTTATAAGAAAAATAGGAATTGGCAGCTCCATCCCACCACTTTTTTCTTTACTACTATTCATTTAAGAGTGGCGCTATAGCATGAACTTAAAAGAAAAAAAAAACATGTTTTTTGTATTTTTTTTTTCTTTTAGTACGATAATTTTATCTTTTTGATCGTACATAACAATTAGCAATTCCCGGACGTATTCATATTGATAAGTCGAGTATCTGAAGTCGGAAACACATTTTTATATTGTATCATATGTCGCTCGCGACAGAAGCATAACGGATTCCATACATTTAGTATGGTCAAAGATACACATAAACAATACAGATAGATGCCTCATCCTATAGTAGAAAATGTGATCGTCCTAACTCGGGCTATCCAGAAAGAAAAAAAAACTCGGTCTATTTTGTCCTACTTGAGTCGGCGCTAGATGCCGCAAGTGTGTGCACCACTTAGAATTGGTCTTGGCTATTCTATGTTTGGTCTTGTATGGTTGACAGAGGACGGTGTTTTGTGCGAAATAGAGTTTCGAAAACTATTTAACAATGTTACAAATTATAAAACCATTACTTTATTATAAAATCTATATCGGCTAATTGACTCGCGTCGTATTAATCAATTCCCTAAAGTAAAAGACTATGATATACCTAAATGGTGAATTTCGGAACTAACTCTGTCTTTTTTTTAAATATGAAGACTTAAATATTACAGTTTATTAGGACTTTAGTTTTAAGTTCAAAATTATTTGTAGTTCTTTTTGTTTTTGGTTGTCGTAAGTTGGCGCTAATGTTGGTCCAAAGTGATTCGGATTAATGATTATAATTAAAAATCATTAGCGGAAACAAATGATTAATGATCATTATTAAGCATAATCATTCTTCTTATCTTCCTATCTCTTCTCTTAATTTTGCTAACCGTCCAATTGAAGTTGAACGGCTACTTTGACCAGTTTAGTTTCTGTTTCTCGCCATACTACCACAAACGTACAATGGGGAAGTATTTAAAAAAAAGAAACCACTAAAAAAACACCTCCACTAGATGGCGACTCTAGCAAAGTTGATTTTTGGAGGAAACGAATGGACCTATATCGGAAAGTTATCCTGATATCGGCAAGGTTTTTATACTATGCACTTTGAGACTTTGAGTCCTAAGTTGGACTCAAATGGACGTTGGACATGGATGACGCCTGTCCCGGCGGACAGGCAGCGCTCAGCAACGGCAACAGCGAGAGTGCGAATCGGGCCAGGGGTGCTAAATATTCCTGGAAGTCTAAATGCTACTTGAAAAAATACCCACAACGACATTCCACATAGGAGCATATGGGAAATATATATGAGAATGGAAGAACGTTCACCGTGAACTTGATAAGATCAAATGGGACGTCTCGGGTATATCAGAAGTGAGAAGACCCGATAATGTGTACAAAATTGCAATCAGTAGAAATAATGTTTCAATATCCGCATTGGGCCAGCGTGAAGGGTCATGGTCCATCCTCCTTAACCATCCATAAGGAAGGCCTGAGCCCCTGCAGTGGGGATATAAAAGGGCTGACGATGATGATGATGATACGACAATCACTATCACTACATAGTATAAAACAAAGTCGCTTTCTGTCCCTATATCCCTATGTATGCTTAATTCTTAAAAACTACGCAACGGATTTTGATGCGATTTTTTCATAGATAGGGTGATTCAAAATTAAGGTTTTTATGAATAATACAAGACCACACGGGCGAAGCCGCTAGTGGAAAGCTAGTGTTAAATAAACCCATATCACAGAACTGTCTGATAAAATTATCAGACAGTTCTGTGCATTTTATTTTATTTTTTCAAATAAATATTTGAAAAAATAAAATGCTCATATGACTGAAAAATACCTACTATATTATTACAAGGCTTTTCATTCAACGATGTTTTGAGTTGTTGATTTTTTTATTTTATTTGTCACGTTATTTTCCAATAGGCGTTGGGTTTGACAACATTGATTTTTATTCGAGTTAATCAATCAATGATTAACACAAGTAATCATATTTATGATTGTTTTTTAATCTTGTTTTTTTTTTGTTTATGAGAAATCAATTGTTGTAAAAGTAAACTAATTTTAAATTATTATAAATCGGTCAGTTTCACAAACGTCCATTAAAGTTTAATAACGCTTTTAAGCTCTAATTAATGTCAAAATTGTATGGGTTATGTTACTTTAAACTAATGAAAGATTTACGGTCAGTTGCACAAACGTCCATTAAGGTTTAATGACGCCTTTAAGCTCTAATGAATGTCAAATTTGTATGGGTAATGTCGCTTTAAACTAATGACAATATTAATGAGCGTTTGTGCAACTGGCTGTTAATCAACTAGATCCTTCATTCAGCATTTTCTCATTGCAAGATGATCGACAAAAGCACAAATACCAAATAAGTGCCATCTTTAATTAAGATATGAATCTTCTGGTCTTTCATTATATACAGTAACTTCAATAAATTTCACTTCTCGTCGCTAGGTGGCGCGACTATAGTAGTTGAATACGTATTTTAGCACCATCTGTACCTACAACACAAAAACAGCTACTTTTAGCATACTTTTACAAAATTCTATCTGTGGTGGTCACTACATGGCGATCCACTAGTTTGTAGTCTATCTACTCGTCAATAGAGGGAGCTAGCGCATTTATGACGTTCGTGTTGTTAACGAATTGACCAATCAGCATAGCGCATTCAAGACAGGCTATTGTTCTTTTGTGACGTCGTGCTGCGCAGCGCGTCTATTTTCATTCGTGATAGGGCAATAGATCGACATTTTGTTTCATTACTGCGACACACAACGCATACGAAAACGTTACCTTGGAAATGCCTTTGAACGCAGCTGGTTGGTCAACAGAGGAAGACGAAAAGCTTATACAACTAGTGGAACCGCATCCTTTTTTGTACTATATGTTAGATCCCTCGAGGAAAGATATTATAGCTCGTGAAACTACATGGAAACAAATAGCGGAACAAATATCTAAGCCAGGTGAGTTTTACTAACGTTCCATATTCTAAGTCTAATGACAAACCCTTGGTGCTCAGTACAATAATAAAGCAGCCGTGACTGATTAATTTTAAAGAAACAAATGTTGCGTTTATGCACATAAAAACAACGTTTATATATTTTTTCTAATGAAGATTAATGGAACAAAAGCTCGATTGTACAGTGCCTATTAACTTTTACAAATGACAGGTGACCAAAAATAGGTACAATATTTTTACATTGACATATAACTTATTCTGCATGTGCTTGTATTATTGGAGAAGGCCAATGTAAACAGTAAAATATCAACAGGTTGAAAATTATAATTTGGTATTTCTTCTTTAGAATTTGCTTTAATGTTGGGTAATTTGGTATCTAATATTGTTTTAGCTGTTGCAATATAAATGCAAGAGCTATGGATGTAAAATTAAAATTATATTTAATTAATTTTTCTATCAGTTGTCTCATTTTTTTTGTAGAATATAGAAATTAAGATTACTCAAGATCGCTTAATATTGTCCATATTTTATAATTTTCAGTTGAAGAATGCAAAAAGCGCTGGAGAGGTTTACGTGATGGTTATTCCAGGTGTAAGAGGGCAGGTTCTGTGCACAAAACTAAAGTTGGTGTATTTGAGAAACTACATTTTCTTGACAATTTGGGCGACCCACTAGAGAATGTGGAGGTAGAAGAAGAGGAGCAAATAGAAGATGATGGTCTCATTGGAGCCGAACAACAAGTCATAACTGACAACCAAGAGTATTACGAAGTAAGTTGATTATTAGTTTTAGAATAATAACTATTTAAACATTTGAATAACTCAATGGCGTAGAGGATAAGCGCCGCGACCCACGATTGTAGTCGTTAAGCAACTTTCGCAAGGTTCGGTCACGGGTGACCAAAAATTATTATCTTGAGCTACTCCTTGCTTTGGAAGGCACGTTAAGCCGTTGGTCCCAGCTGCATTTGCAGTTGTTAATACCCTCCAATCTGCATTAGGCCAGCGTGGAGCGTCATGACCCATCCTCCTTAGCGTCAGAGTAAATTTACACTAAAATTGCAATATTAGTATTAGTCCATGTTCAGATTACACAGAGAATAAGCAAATCTATTACCTTCTGGGAGCAAAAATTACTCCCAAAGAACCTTGTACTAGGTTTACCTTTGTTAAGTCTATGTTTAATAATTTGAATCTTGACTAATACAAAAAGCAGTCTCAGCATAAATTTCCTCCAACACTAAACCTTGTTTATAAGTAACACTGTAAGTAAATGCTGTGTGATATTAATATAAATAAAAAAGTATGACTTGCACATCAGTTTCAACATGTAGCTGCCTCTAAAACTCCTGGGATCTAGTCCCTGTTAGGTCAATGTAAAAAAAAAATTTTTTCTATATTCTCTAAGGTTTGGGTTTTCTTATCATAGAAAAATAAATATCATATATACAGCATATTTTATAGAATGAAACTACAAATTTCAATTACTTATACAAAATTGTGTTTTGGATCTAGTTTCTTGATTACTTCTGTAAACCTATTCCATCTAATTTCATCCATAGGTGATCCCAGCATATAGAACATTAACAGGCTTTATCACCAGCTATGAAGTGTACTACCTAGTTAGAAAAATTTAACAATTATGTATCTTGGTAGACCAAAGAAACATTTAAGAGCATAATTTTCATTTTTATTTAATCTACCCTTTTAATTGTATAAAATATTTATAATAGAAAAAAAATTAAACAAGTTATAATTCACATTTCAGATCACAGTAGTCGAAGGTTCACAGGAGACTCAGCCAATGAAGCCAGTCATCAAAGTTTTACCAGAAATGGAAGAACCACCCAAAAAGATCAGGAAGAACCCCGGTGGCAGAAAAAAGGCAATTCCTGTGCCTAGAAACATCCCACCAATAAAAATACTACCAAAACCTTTAGAATATAATGGTCCAAAATTGATCAGATATGTTGAAGAGCCTAGGACACAAGAAAATAGGTCACAAGTCATAGACAGCCTTATTGAGAAGGTCTTGAAAGAAAACACAAATGAAATAGATGTGTTCTTTAGGAGTATGGCAGCTAGTGTTAAAAAGTTGCAACCGAATCTAATACCAAAAGTCAAAATGGAGGTGTGCAATGTTATAGCTAGATATGAGATGCAGAGTTTCGATAAAAATCTTCAGAATTATTAAGTGCTATGTGACGTTATTTTATTTTTAGTTAATATAGTTATTAATATTGTACAAAGACAAAGTTATATATAAATCCGTGAGTTACTTATACAATAATGTTTAAATATTACTTTGAATAAGGAATGAAATTTGCAAATGAAATATAATAATGACAATTCTGTTGGCATAAACTATACCTATTACAATTAAATTTTTTTTCTCTAAGTCAGTCAAGAGGAACAGAGTGAGGTTAAATCCTAAATTAAAATAAGGGAGTTTTAAGTTTAGAGCAGCATTTCTTATTTTGGGTCGCTGGTGGTATTTATGGGTTATGAAATTTTCAAAAGATGTTATTATATTTGATCAAATTTGCACCCACTTTGTTCCTGGTTATATCTTATCATATATTATACTCTGAGAGGGGTACCATAGACAAAGTAGATTTTATAAGCACTTTTTAAAAATTTATTAACACGTGACACATAAATAAATCCATCAGATAACCGGCTGATAACCCAAAAAGGTTCAGAACCACTCGCTGGTGATTTAGAAGTGGTACAGCCATTGGAACAGAATTGTCACTAAGTCAAAGTATTGAAATCTATAATGATTCACATATTGGTGCCAAGAATCTTTTTTTGACATGACTTTTTTGGGATGACAACGAATTTATGTTTGTCAGTCCGGTAGATTATTGAGGAATATTAAACACGTATCTTTTATTTTTTTGCGTAATAAATAAATTACGACGATACGAGTTGGAATGTCGTACGACGTCACGCTTCTGTACATTTTCTACAAAACTGTGACATAAAGAATACCCCCCATCCTCAACTTAATTCCTATTAAGTAAGCTATTTCTTGTTAAATTGAAGAAAAAAAAATTGTTATCTTATATTTTTCTCTTATCTGATTGACGAACTGAATAGTTTATATTAACTATGAACTATTAGATTTTTTTTAACCCAGTTATCATCCTGAGTATTCGAGTGCGTACGCAAGGATTCTCAAACACAGTGAGTGGAGACGGTCACCAATGCGCGCTTAGCCTTAGGCACGTTACGGTTTACGTTAACTCGAGATTATAATCATTAAATGTTGTAATCTGAAAATTTTTCATTCATAAGAATCTTTGTCGGACGTCAATTAATATTTTCGTTCATATTTTTTTTGCGTTCATCAACGTAATTGTCGATTAATAACATAACGTAATCTGCACTCTATGGATCGACATGAGTTTTCAAAATCTTTAACTGATAAAAAATTATTAGATTTTTTTGAAGTGTACATAAATTAATGTAAGTGCCTATATAAAAACCAAACAAAACTCATAGTCTAAGAGTTGGTGACAAAAATGTGCGAGAGCTTTCTAAAGCTTAATGCTAGACTTCACTCAGTGCCCAGTTCGGAGGTCAAGTGCTGGAACACCTGGTGGAACAGACAAGAGGTCTCATCCTGCTCCATCATTAGATGGTCTAGAAAATATTAGTTAAAATAGTAGTCTAAAAATATGTAAATTGTGTTAATTGAACGAAAAATTTAAAAATGTTGGGTGAACTCTGTTTTCCGATATACTTCTTGTATGTAAATAATACAATATATGTTAAGTGCCTGCATGTACATATGTACTTTAAAATCATGTGTTATAATTATAAATGTGTAAAATAAGAAATTTTGGCGTGGTCAATCAATGTTAATGTAAAATTTAGGAATTGAGTTAGACTTTTTCTCCTGTATCGAGTATAACTCGGAACTAGAAGGTATGTTAAAAAAATAAAAATAATCCATGATGTGTTTATAAACAAGTGTTTATTTGTCTATGAAAATAAATATCCCTCAATAAGAAATAATAAACTGTGGAAATGTCACTTTGTTTGTCACTACTTTACTAAATTATAAAAAATAAAAGACTGCGTGAAAACAAAAGAGAGAAGAGAAAAAAAATATAATTGCTTTCACTAAAAACTAAAACTAAATAAAACCAGCCCAGCAGTTTGGGATGTTATTAAGTATAACTGAATGACTGCTCCATTGTAATAGTTTTAAAATCTATCTATACACATAAAACATATCATAAATTCAAAAACAAAATAGAAGGATTAACAGTCACGACCTATTCCTTTTTGACCAATCAACGGAAAATTTGATTGGGTCCCAACTGTTGATCCTTCCATTCTGCTTTTCGTTATTAGAGGGAGTGAGGTTTACTAAACTACTATTAGTCCCCTACCTAGAGACCTCACTCACACCAATAACAAACCTTAAGCAAAAATTCGCGAACTTAAGTCAACCACAGCTCGGTCCAAAGTAGTTCTTGGCACTTAAAAGCTTAATAATTTGCGAAAGGCTCACTATATCATGAAGACAGCGAGCAAGGATATCGATAAAATAAAAAGTCATCCCCACTTTACACTGACATACCCTAGAAAAGATTTCATTATACTACTCTCGGCGTTATTAATGTATATACCCGTGCCAAATTATAACTTTCTAGTACTTAATAGTTTTGAGCTAGTCCGCGGACAGACGGACATAGCGAAACTAAAATGGGTTCCTTGCAGGGACTACAGAACCCTAAAAAAGACTTGGTAAACCTAATAGTAATAAATCTCTGTAAAAGAACTTTCAACCCATCATCAACACATAAAATAATCGAAGTGAATCAAATTCATAGAAAGCATTTCTTGTAATTTATATGGTCCGGATAAAACCCAGAAAACATAAAGAAAGATGAAAAATAAGTTTAAACCTGCAAGGCTCAGTCTATATCAAAATATGTTCCAGCTTCCAGAAGGTGGGCTTAATGATTTCGTATATACCTAAGGTATGTCATTTATTTGCTAGGTGTAAAGAGTCACAAGGCAATCCTAACAGAAAAAGGCGTAAGAAACAAATTTTCTTTAGGAATCGTACCGAATAGTCAACACCTCTACCATCATTTTAATTTTAGACCTATGTACACACAGTTTCTACAATATGTCAAATATCTGCAATAGATTTTGACCTCTACCCTGAATAAATTAAAGTTTAAACTCGAGTGGGGAAAATTGAAAGTTACGTAGTCTGCCGTACAATTGACTGTACCTATTGATCTGTAACTCTTTAGTCTACTCTTCTTACGTAACTAATTATTATTAATCCGTTACCGTTTTGCGTTGTAAATATCAAAATACAACCCTAGTTAAGGTTATGCTATACCTACTCGTTCATCAAATATTGTGGCATATTTACAACTGGGCGGGGTGTCTAGACGACCTGTTATGGTTCGTCGACCGAAAATTTCCTAGTTAAGGACGAAATAGGTTTTTTAAAACGTTTATCTAACTTCGTTTCATAAAATGAGTTCCGCAGCCTTTAGTACTCTGCAAAGCGTAAGACTACGGAATATTACTGTTAAATCATCAAAGGTAATGAATATGAACATATCGAACACAAGTATTAACACAACATTAGATACGATTGTATTTAATAGTACACCCTAGGTTAGTATCTATAGAGGTTTTTTAAACCGTTTATCTAACTCGGCGTTTCATAAAATGCAGCCTTTACTACTCTGCAAAGCGTACGACTATGGAATATTAGTCGTATTTTGGCAAAGGATCTGGGTTAAAGCAAATAATAAGGTGCACACTCTCCCACATTAATCCAGTTCCACTTGCATATTCAAGATATTTACCATCAATTTACAGTTATTGAATATTAACATACAGTTTAATTTTCTTTTTAAAAACTCGTTCATTCGTGCCTTTTGAAATTAACGTACATGCGTCATCCAGCCAGCCAGCCAGTCACATCAAGGGCTAAGAGTGCTTAAAGATTTAACAATGCTGCAGGCAGACGGCAGGTGATGCACTGAATAGGTAGGTACCTTCATAGTCGAAAACTTAATGAACCATAGAAACAGGGGTCGGAGAATTAGCTGGGCTAATCATAAAAAATCAGTTATAGGTATATGTTGGCCCGAGTTGCTTTACAAGTCGAGTGAAAACCAATGCTTCAACTAGTTATAGTTCGAGTAATTTTGAGGTTGACCAATAATAAAAATTTTAATAAAACATAGTTTAATTAACCCAGCTTACGTCCAATTTTAATTATTATATCAAATTTTCTGTATCTATCATGATATTTGGAAAGCGTCACCTACCTTCTTTTAAAGGATATGAAGATGTAGATGTGAAATACAAAAATTTCACTTTTATATTCAACACTAATTCAATTTATACTTAATGTTAGTTTTTTTATGACGACTACTCATCTTCATAAAGTAAATAATTTATAAAATGTAGACGCAGTTTGGTATACACAACCTATAGCCATCTACTGTGCTATAGTTAAGATAAACTAATCACGAGTTAATAATTTCAATCAATCAATTATAAATACAAAACGTTAAGTTTTGAGGTTTAGATCGTTAAATGAAACAACCGCGTTTGTATATTTCTTTTAACGATGTTTCGGACCCTAGAGAAAGAAAAATACACACGTGATGAAACCGTTTAAAAGTTGTTTCATTTATGGATAGTGCGCGAGAAAATATAAGAAGAAATCAATAGGTTTACATCGTTTTCGCTGGATTTAGCTTCGTTTTACCGCTTAACCATTATTACTTTCTTAGTATTACTTTTACTATTTTATTATTATTACTATTACATACATGTATACTTGTTACATACATGTAAAAGTAATTATAGTTACAACGGTAAATCGTGCATTGCAAATTTTATGATGACACGACATTTACGTTTAGGCACCTACTAAAAAATTGTGAAATTCGCCCGTCAAGTGGCAGGAACAATGCATTCTTCTACGACACAAAAAGGTAGTATTCATAGTAAAGTTACTAATGTTTCAAATTCGAATAAAACAAAATTCCAGAAGCAATTAAATAATACAGTATACGGCGGCGGCGTGGCATTCGTTATAGGAACGGGGAAGATGAACTGCACTCAGTCACTCGCCCCAGCCGTGCGTGAGTCATTGCAATCCCATTACCGCATTACCGGGGTCCACGGTCATCTCTATGACGCTATACATCACTATTTGGTCACTCTCCACAATGTTTGAAAGAAAACTAATGAAACTTTCAATGGGGAATGAATGCGTTACATTATTTATCGTTGTGAGATAAAAATTGAGACCAAGCCAGAAATGCACCAATCTGATTTTTTTTAAACTGTACGAGAATCCTTTAAATAAAATTATTTTAAGAGTGTGCCTTCTCCATGTTGACCTTAATTTTTTAAATTAATTAAATTGTTGACTTATCAAAAGCTGAACGGCTACACAAAAAAAAAGGAAGTCTTTTTCTATTACTCCTGGCCCAGACCCCAAAACTATAATTGAATATGGGATAGACCTCACACATCTTAGTTATTTGACCTCCAAAAGAGAATCCATGAAGATATCAAATCGAAATGGATTCAATGAAGTTTCTGCCTTCTTTGATTGCAATTCATGATACCTACCAGAATAAAACAGTGAAATAAAATTGAGTAAACCATTGTACTTTGTTTTGGCTTCGTTGAAATGTATGTGGTCATTCAATATACGAAAATTTAAAACAAACTGTTAGTTGCTTTGTATTATGGTTTTTTGTGACACATTTATACGATAAGTACGTATTATTTGTTTGGGTTAAAACGGAACGTCAGCGTTAGCGTGAGATATTGTAATATTTGTGTTCCAATTTATTCATTTTTTATAACAGCCTTTACAGATAATTAATATAAATGTATAAATTATGCCATAATAAAATTCAAATTAATATTGATATAAATATCTCCAATTAAATCACTAGTTAAAACTGAACCTGAACATCTAAGTTAGAGTGTTAGTGGATTAGATTACTGTAATACAGTAACTTTGCTGCGGTTAATGTGGCGCCAAATTGACGCACCAAACGATCAGTATTGACACTAAGCTTGCTTATAACTGGATATAGTACCTCAAGGCGATATGTTACAGATTCATGGTTTATAATCACCAACTTTCATTGGTTTTGTACAGTCAACTTACACGATGTAAGGCACAAACAAAAGTTTCAAAATTCTCCACTTGGTTTTAAACTTTATTGCGAGTAGAGTACAAAATCACTTATGGTTGGACAATTTGTCAAAGTCTGACGTGCAGCCGTGTTTACAAAGAAAGAACGTTCAAATTGCTGTAATGAAAATGAAAAACTAAATAATATTTATGAGGAGTTTGATAAATCGTGAATTTATTAAATTTTATAAATTCACGATTTAACAATTAAGGAATAAAACTGAAATTAAACTAACAAGCATACTTCCGTGAAGGTCGATTACACCAAACGAGCGAACGCTCGTTCTATCCCGACTCTATTAAATTCTTTTACTGTAAGCTTCAAGCATTCGCTCGTTGTTCAATTTGCGTTTGCAAAGATTCTATGGAACATTCTAAGAATGCTCGTTCGTTTGGTGTAAATGGCACTCGAGCGTGCGAACAGTTGCTTAGAGCGTTATTGAGTGTTCGAACACGCTCGCTCAACGTAGCGGTCTTTCCAAAACGTTCTTGTGTTTTAATGATTTGAGTACATATAGCTATCGATGCTTATGTAAGCCTTTGTTTTATCTAAACGTTGTGCAGAAGTCTAGTTCTTAGTTCGAATGTAATAAGAATTTTTGCTCGTCGATATTCTTTTGGACACGAAATGGACACGAAAGAATGCTCTTGTTCTTGCTCTAGCTGATTTTTCGTTTGGTTTATATGCATCTTGAGACGCTCAAGGGATTTTACGTCAGATTAACACCGAAATATACATATTTGTGAGGGTAGCTTAAGAAAATTTCAAAAATATTGAAATATGTTACCCATTTTAGATATTTTAATATCGCTGAGCTATTCCCAGTTATAATGATACTTATAATATTATCTGTGGCCTAGTATATTGTTACGATAGCTGCAACCGAATCAACGGATATTGCATGAAACCGAAATTGTTATCATTCAAAACGGTATCTAAGCAATCACCATTTACGATACTTGCGGTTGTCTTTTGTAATAGTGCACTAAAGAAATTGCATAGACATAGAAATCGGTCGCTTTTTGTTAGGAAATCTGCATACATTTATGATCGAACTGGTAGAAACTACAGTTAGCTATTGGCCATACATAGAATTAAAAATAGCACACCTCAATTCATGGACTGTAGAATACAAAATCAACTGCGGATATTTGACATTTCAACATTTCGCTAAACGAGAACTAACCCTATAAGGTGTATTTTCATATATCAAGTGAAGAGTTCTTCAGTCCCCAGTAATAGTAAGTGTCAACACTATAGCCGTTCCCAATAACTTACCCTCGGTTAGAGTTAAGAGTTTATATACTAAACAATCGTTGTTATTTTCTAATCCAAATTTATTATGATAAACGTGAATGCGATAAATCAAATTGAAAATAGGGGTATGGATTTTCCTCTTATTCTCACCAAAACAAGGCTATCAAATAAATAAAATATCTTGTCTTTACTAATATTATAAAGAAGAAAGATTTAATTTACTTTGTTGTTTACATTAAATATAATTCGAAACTGTTGGATGAATTTCAAAAATTCTTTCATCAACTGGAAGCTACGTCACGTTATAATTTATGCGGGCGAAGTCGCGGAAAAGTAACTAGTTACAAATAAAACAATTCCCTACGATACAGGGAAATGAACATTTATGACGTTTCGGGGACATGAAGATTTATGATACAAATGCCAATATTTAAATAAACTTATAAAATCGATATAATTAACTTAACAAACTGATATGACATGACTCTCATTATTTCATTTTCTTTTCACAACCAATATGAAGTTAGTGATTACGATTTAAGCGTCTTCTGTAAAAATCCGAACCCGAATTCATGTCATTTAGTGAAGAAATTCTATTGATTCCATTTTTTTTTTATAAAATATAAAGCAAAATTTTTTGGTTATACATGTCTCAGACATTCTATTCCTATGTCATTTCGAAACTCACTTCATTTATGCCACGAAACGTTATACCAATTCAAAATTGAGCGGATGCCGCGAAGTGAATTCGAATTCAGGTTTGTATTTTTACAGAATCGCAGGGCTTGTAAATCTAGCGCACGCGATTATTGACAACGCGGATCGCAGACACGTATCCCCTCCGACCGTGCTCGCAAAAACGAAATTCCGTCTATTTTCGAAATGCTATAACTGATACGATTCCAAGGAATACATTTTAAGATAATTTATGATGACGGAGGTAGGACCAATAAGCTAATTTAATGTAATAATAGCACCTCAGCAGAATCTCAACTACTTCCATTTTGCCTTTCTAGTATCTACCTGAAGTCCAATATTATTTTATATCTGTAGGGAGATATATTATTTCAGGTCAATGGAAAATGCAAGATGAATTTGGACTAATAATAGAATTGCTATTTTGACCTTGTTTATTAATAGCACCGTAGCGGAATTGGCCTACTAACTACCTCTGATGCACATATTATCTTCGCAGATATAATTTTAAGAAATTATAAGAACGTTTGGAAATTTCACTCGTACATTAAGAGGAGATCCTATGGAGTGTAGTATGGTCGTATTTGTAATTTGAAACAAAGTTATATGGAGCAAGCGCCTGGATAAGTAATCATAATAATTCTTTTCATGGCATACGACACATACAAATGAATTTAAGTCACCAAAATAACTACGCTAAAGCACTTTATAATGCTGTGAGTATGATTGATGATAAAAATGAGTCACCGTAAAGTTCCGAGGTCCAATTCGGATTTATAAAATCATGCACGAATCATACAGTACATAAAACAATCACCGTTTTAAAGAAAAACGGTCAAAGCAATATCGAAGAAAGTCGAATGGCGTAAAAACTAATAAATCTTATCATCTCAATTGCCATTTTATTTATTAGACACTAACCAGTTTAGAGACATCAGATGAGGTGTTATTATAGTGTTTACTTAAAGAGGCTTGGCAAGCATTAAAGACTTAAATCATAGTCTAATCCAAAATAGGGCTTCTTTAGTGCACGTGATATGAGGTAAACCCAAAAGAAACATAATGTGATCACCTTGCAGTGTTAGCTTAAAGATAATCAGATTAATGATAAAAATTAGTCATGATAATGACAAATCTCATCATTATCACAACCTTTTTCTCTTTTATAGTAATAACACCACCTATAATACGAGTCTTGCTTCGGATCCACCCGTTTTCTTTTCGGTCCGACAGTTTTATGCCGAGCATATCTCTTTCCATGGCTCGTTGTGTGACTTGTAGTTTTTTGGCAGAGTTTTCTGTTAGAATTGCTGTTCCTATTCTATTAGTTAAAATTGGCAGGACACGTTGGTCGAAAACTCTACTTTTGAGATATTGTGAGATTTTATTTGAGCGTACAATGGATTTATTTGCACCGAAGGCAGATTACGCTTGCGCCATTCTTCTTTCGATCTCTGTGATTTGGTTTCTGTATCCCAACGTTATTTTGTGGCCGAGTTGTATACCATCGACAGTTTCTACTGGCATTTGGTGTCTAGTCGTCTCAAGGATATTCGTCATAATCTTCGTTTTTAAATATTATTAAAACAAAGTCAGTATCAATATTTAGAAAATTATGATTGGTAATAATAAAATCGCTAATCACGAATAATAATATGGTTTAGTTTTAATTGTTAGAGTAATTTTTTCTACGCTTTATTTTTTCTATCCTTCTTTTCAATAACAAAATAACAGCGAGCGACTTCCGGTTTCCGCATTAAAATTTCTTTTTTTTTTATCACAATTCATTTAAAACAATTAGCCGTACACAATTCGTCAAATCTAATAATTTATCGATTACCCCGTAAATTGTAACCTTACGAATTGTCCTGAAAATATTTTACTATGTATTTACTAACATACCTGATTGCTAGCGAATCGACGACTTCCAGATCGGCTGAGTGTACCTCCCCGAACATTGCTATCAGACAGTTCTACGTCGCCGCCACCGTCGGCAGCACGCCTGCGCGACAGCTCGCACAGCTCTGCTATTGGCTGCACCTGTATCATAAACATCATATTATATATTTTCAAATATTAATTTGAAACAAAACTCCGAAGCTAATAGCCAAGCTTACCTTACTTCATATCAAAACTGGCTGCTACATAATCTTATTTAATTTGTATTGACTTATGAATACTAACAAAGTCAATAAGATTTATCTAGCAGTGTTAAAACGATTGCCACCCATGATGATTTGACCAACAGTTGCAATTATGACGTGGTTAACTTAACTATTGATAAAAAAATTAACTTTAAATAACATGTAACTTAACCTTAGTCAAATCTTAAGGAATAGTTAACTGTCGTTTAAAAACACCGCCCTAACTCTATTCCTATGGCTCAAGAATATCGTGATCTATCTTCAGAATTAGTCTCTATATGTATCTGTAGTCCTATCGAAACTATCGCCTTTCACCGATACTAATAATCGATACTATTGAACGAAAAAATTGTGCGACTGTTTGTAGGATCGTATCTTTATTGTAACAAAACTGTTAACACATAAGTACACCTAAATAATGACTAACTAGGTAGCTACTGGTAAAAATATTACTTTCTTTATATGTACAGTTATGCAAATTCTATATTCCGTCAACTTGCTGCATGAGATACAGTTATTATTAGCATCAGCTGCGATGCAAAAACAATAAAGTTTTAAATTTATTCAAAGTGGCTCAGCACGCACATCAAAAGCAGGGTTATGGGTCACATGACAGCAATATGAGCATTTTAAGTATTTCGAGAAGTTTATGAGTATCCGTTGCAACTCATATCGAGAACGAGTCGACAAGAATGAAGTTAAAGGAATGTTTTAATTTAAATAAAAAAAGTCTTTAATCGGATGTAAGCCTTAAACTGGCACGGGGAAATGAATTTGATACACTGATGATAAATCATGGCTAATTTCAACTTATGACTGGTTTACTAAAATGGGAAAACTACTAATGTTATTTTTACTAACCTTTACAGTGACAGAATCCTGACTTCCTTTAATTAAGTCGATCACTTCTTCTCTGCTTTTGCCTTCCACATTAATACCATTGACTTCTAACAATCTATCGCCGGGAAGGAGTCCTGTTTCACTAGCACCTGGATAGGAACCAGGCTCAGCTAGAATCACCGCTTTATGTGTTAATTTACTGATCAATCCATTAGTAATGTTGCCGTTACATTTATTGTCACCATTCGCAAGACCATTCTCGTCATGACCATTATGTTCCCTTATATCTCCAATGAAAACTCTCTCTTGAACCATAGCACGACGAAGGCTAAATCCAAAATCATTTCTGGGCGATTTCTGTCTTTGTATAATCAATAATCTTGGCTTTGGCAGCTGCAATGGGGTCAGTGATGGCAAAGGTAAATAAACATCATCGAAGTTGCTAGTTCGCGACCACCGATGGAAGCCCTGCGATTCACCAACAGGCGAGGTAGAAAACGGTGGAGTCGCAAACGAAGAATTCGTAGTAGTGTCAGTTAAAGAATCAGCACTTGGTGATGTAGACGTTACTCCAATATAACTGTTCCCATTAGTCTTTGATAATTCATCTACGTCTTGAGTAACTATTGATGGATTACTAGCGTTATTTTTGTAATTCTTATATTGCGTTTCAACAGGACTGTGAATCACTTTCTTCGTAAAGTTCTGTAACTGCTGTATCTCATCGCTAGAAGATGTACTCTTCGATGGCGGAATCGCACCGAAAGATATAACTTCATTCTGTTGTGTGTTTCGCGCTAGAAGGTTTGAGTCTTGACCATTTATATAGTCAACAGTGTCACTGCTTTGGATGTTGCTTTCTTGTGAATTAGAACTAGTATTGCTTAACCGAGGACCTTTCAAGATTCCTCGTTTCGGCGGTCGTGGTGGTATGGGAGGTAGATTCGGCGGTTGTCGTGGACTAATGTTAGCATTGTTAGGGTTATTCAAAGAGTTCAGAGAGGTTTCTGAACTGTCTGATTGTAACACACTATCTTTTTTATTCCACGTGTGTGTTGTGGGATACCCGGGTGACAAATGGTTATTTTCGTCACTGAGGTTGGAATTAGACCCTGAGGTAGATATGAGTGGGTAGTTGGAATAGTTCGAGTCTTGTTCTAGGTGGGCAAACAGTGAGGCTGTGTAGTCCGCTGTGATGCCAGAGGGTAATTTCTCCTTTTCTTTACGCCTGCCACGCAGTTTGAGTGACCGTCGAACCTGTTGATGAAGATGTTACTTAGTATTGAATCAAAATTTATTCAGTAAACATGCCACAGTAAGCATCAAGGTTATTTTTAACAACAAAACAGTTTTACTATTCTAATGAGCATGTCGAGAAAGATTTCAGTTAAAATAGACAAATGTTACGCTCAGCTCCGTTTTTGTTGACTTAACAAAAGAGTAATTAGAGTAAATTATAACTAAAATTAGCATAGCAGTTTATAAAAAGTGCTTTAATTGCTTGCTATAATACGAACTATAGTTTAGTTAGTCAAGAAAGGAACAGAACGATGACGGTATATTATCCTCAACTCATTTACTCTCTGCTAAAAGTAAGATAGTGTATATCAATTCAAATGGATAGTGGCTACCAAAAGTTTGATCAGTCAACCATATTAAGGTAGTCAGTAATAAATTATTTTGCTACATAAAATTATTCGAATAACTTTAATTACTTAAAGACATAACGATATATCAACCTTTACCGGTATAGTTTTACTCGTAATTGGATAAAAAAAAACATCGAAGGCCGCATCACCGTCATACCATAATTCGATTATAAAACCTCTATAAGGATATAATTCAACACAACTATTGACAATCCCAATTAGTTGGAAAGAATTCGCGCTCCAATAATTTTGAACAAAGTGGCTATATAAATGCAGCACAGAGAAAGGGGGACACAACTAGCTTAATTAAAATTCTAACTGATTCACCTTTAAGCTACTTTAGAAGCATTAATGGTAATAAAAAACTTCCAATAAAATACGTATCATTTCAAAATACAGGACATAGTAATATTTACACAATCGAGAGAACATTAACTTTTTTAAAAGCAATCATGGTTTGAACCTGGTTTAAAAATGATGCATTGAATAAGTTCTTGAACCGATTTCAAAAATTTTTTCATTTGCGGAAACCGAGGAAGCTTTTCTCAGCACGGTGAGTCGAAATTAGGCTGTTGACGACAGCCACGTGCCGAAAAATGTACAGATCGAACGACCAATCACAGCGCCTACATTAGCTGAATTATCAGGGAGCCCATTGGCTGCGTAGGCGCCGTCCGCACGGTGGGGGCGATTCCCCCACCCGGCGCGCGGGCGTAAAACGCGCTGTGATTGGTCGGCCGCCGCGCGTCACTAGTATCTAAGTTAGATGTTAAATTTAGAATAAGGGTAGGGCCGTAAATATTCGTAGTCAAGTCAAGTCAGTCAAGCAGTATAGTCAAGCAGTAATAAGTAGCCAGTAAGAAGAAAAGCAATAAATCGTCTATAGAAGAAATCCTCTTTGTTTTGCACCATCATCAACAGTTATACAGCATCGTCTACAGTTTGGTCCATAGAGCCGGATCAGCACCCTCAACATAGGCTATAATTTACTCGGACGAATTGCGGGAAAACAGCTAGTATATATTATTACAAATAGAACAATAACAATTTACCAGAGCAATCCAGGTGTACATCTAGAAACCTTTTAAATTTATGTATGATTTCTTATATCCAATATCTCCAAGAAAAATGGGACAAACAAATTAGCAGAGACCACATACAAATTAACCTCCGACAAACAGCACTGTGCTAATCGAACAAGTTAAACAATGATAATGTCTCTGTTTGGTTTGTAAATAGATTACTAAAAACAAAGAAATACCATTGATTATAATAGAAATACTATTCACAACTTTGTGCTTACTCATACGTTGATGACAATAGAATCAAGAAAAATCTGTTTGATTCTACTCGTATTTATTTTATGATTGATCAAATCAAAGTGCATTATCTTGTATGTATGTAATATTTTTTATTACCTCATATCTTCAGAACCGCTGAACGAATTTAGATAATTTTGATATCGTTAGATTTGGCTTAGAAGTCCAAGTGTTCTTTGATAGCTAACGTTAAAAATCAAATATGGCGGGTGGGCGAAGCCATTACATCTGTTTCTTTTATTCAAATACTACAATATGGGTAGCAAATTAAAGGTGTCAATGCAAGGATTCCAAAATTGTATGTCATGATTATAATTACAGTAAAACTAATTAAAATAACCAAGACAAGTTTACAAATATGGACTTTGTTCTTTCACTTTGTGAACCATTCTGGTAATGTGTCTAACCAAAACGACAAATAAAAGTAAAATAAAAATAAAAAACCCGCTTGCGTGAAAAACAACTAACTGAAAAAGTTGGAACAATATAAAAAAAAATATTCAATTTTATGCGGTGAAAATAGAAGCTTTTACAAGTATAATATTCTTGTCAAACAATTAATTATTTTTTTTTATCTAGTCTCCGTTGCAATAGCGACTGAAACCGAACACCGGATCTGTGCCCATGGGCCGTGACTTCCATTAAATGGGAAAACATCAGTTCTCCCGAACTTGCAGACCGTTAACCTATAGTGAGCAGGTGGCATGGTGTTTTATACTGTCGGAGAAATTTTTAAGGCCTCCGAACGTCCAGCAGTTTTCTTTCCATAAGCTACCATAATAAGTGACTTGACTGAGTTATGTCTACGAACGGTTGAATTGCAATATTCTACCAGTTTTAAAGAATGAGGTTTGTACTAGTGAGCTTATTTTCATCAACGTTCAGGGTCCAATTACTTTAACGCAATTATGACATGTTATGGCCATTTTAACACATCATGATCTACCAAAACGTCATTTGACTCATGATATCTGACCTGAGATAGATAATACAGCTTCAAAATTTATTGTGACGCCATTGAACTGATATTATCATATTAGCAGAAGCAGGTTAACCTAAGCGTCAAACATTCGACAATATCGAAATTCTGAAAGCTTTATTGATTGATGAAGTCGTCCAGTTTGCAAAAGGTGACAAGTTAGTGTTCCGTCCGTTTCGGGCACGTCTGTCATAAATATAGCATTGTGAATAGAAAGAAATAAATAAATATAACAACAAAAGCTTAGCTCGCACTATAATCATTAAATCTGAAATCTACATAGCGATACTGCAATCGATAATAGCTTATCGAAAACTTTGAATCACAGACCACCCGTAATAATATCATAGCTGGAGGACATTCTCCACTTGTTTTCGAGCTGAATAGGTTAATTATCTGAAAATGATTTGATAATTGTGTAATCGTTTTGAAAATTATGGCTTTAGATAGACAAATTTATAAAAGGAGGAAGGAAAATTGAGGGGTAAATACTTTCCCCTTATATGAGTTGGCGGTACAAAGTTTGCCTGGTCAAATCATCGTCATCGCTTATAAATTACTACAGTGGCAAAGGCTTTCTCTTTGAATGGAATGTATATAATAGGAAAACCTGCCATAACCCACTACGCATGCTCAGTGTGAATTATTGACATGAACCCGGGCCTAACGCTGTATGTGCCTTCCGAAGCACGGATGAGCTCGAGGTAATAAATTTCTGATAGATGATAAGAATCCATCACTTATCCTTGATCAACTAGTTTACAATAAATATATTTTATTAACATAAATAACAAAAGCAGATAATCTAATGGAAATACCATCCGAGCTGTTAAGAGCACGATCGTTGGTGGTGAATGCTACGTTGATGGTGTAACGTCGCTTATGACCTATTGCGATAATCCACGATTCACCTTACAGAATTCATTTGATCTTTGGTAAACAAACACTAAACGCAACTATTTAGAGAACGAGACGACGAATGCATAGATAGGTAACAATATTTCAATTCCAATAGTGTCAGTAGAGATAAAATTGTGTGTGAAACCTGAATGTGTCGGTAATATAGACCATAGCAATAGTTTAAAATACGATCTTAGCTCTAAACAAATTATATATCGTATACGTTGACACATTTTGTAGCAGTTCAATGAGAGTATCGATTTGTGTTATGTTATGACGTTTTCAATATAATGTTTCGTGTCATTAAGGAAAGATAAAAATATAAACAAGTAAAATAACACAAAACGCACTGTAACTTTAGATCATGAATCAATTAAAGGTGTAAAATATGTGCCATTGCTCAAATATTATATTTTATCAATTTTGCATACTCAATGGTATAGCGGTTAATATCCTTAACTAAAGATGTTTAAATAATATAATCCACCAGGCGCTCGGATTCCGCAAGGCCATGGGTTCAAGTCCCAGCTTAGGTTGCTCGGGGCTGGTGGATTTTTAAGAATTTTTGATTACGAAAACATTACATACATTAATATCTGGTAAGACAAATTCATAATGAAAAATGTTTAAATTCCAATTTGTCTCTGGCATTCTGAGATACATCAAGCTTGAAAGTAACAAGTTAGTAGTACTTGAAGGATTTGTCAGTTCTGTTTGGTCCTTGGTAACTCAGCGGCTAGAGCAGTCGCCTAGATTGCGAAAGGTCGTGCGTTATCCCATCTCAGAGTGTCGGGACAAAGTGTATTGTTTAAGCATATTTCATTAAGAATATTTCCAAATATAGCATTGTGCAAAATTGATCGAATATAATATAATAAGAAAAATATGTAAAAATACTGAAGTATAGAATAAATAGATCTGCTTTGGCATTCTGTAAAAATATAACGTCGGAGACAGTGCCATGGCAGCGTTTGAACTGAAAAAGACCTTTATTACCATTTAAAGTAGGTTTTATTTGATTGCACTTCCAAAGCTAATATTTTTAACAGAATAATATTGCAGAACAAGACTTATTCATCATTTCTATTATGACGATAAAATCACATAGTACACCACAATTTACCCAATATAATTACGTCCATAAAAACCTATTAACGAGCAACAAATTATCTATAAATAACATAGCGAAAGATTTATCATAGTCAGGTGAATGCAAATCAAGAGATTGTGTCCGATACGAAGTCAGTATTAATTTCTAGTAACATTGAAAGTGTATTAACCTTGAGAGATGCATTAATGGCCTCATATAAAATGAAACCGGGCAAAAAAGAAGTAGACAATCCAGTTTTCCTAACACAAATCCATAACCAGACCCAACAAGCGATAGTTTTCGGTCATTCCATACCGGTAGCCACATTTAACGTTACGTTTCCTACAAGCTCAATTATTATTATACTAGCATGTTATTTCGCATTGATTGTAAGAGGACTTACGCAAGAACATTAAATGTAATTTGATGTCTTTAAAAAACTATTTTTTCAGCATTTTCAATATTCATATTCAGAATTCCAATTTCATGTTAACATATAAATATATATGGAGGGTTATTAATAAGAACTATGGTATGTAATAGCATAAAAGTATTTATTTTTTAGGACTTCAGAGGTGCAGTGTTACGGATAGGTATATGAATATCCTAATTTCGAGCGAAGTATAGTTAGATACTTGTTTGTTTTTCAATATCTGAAGTGCTGAATGAATTGCGCAATACTAGAGCACATAGAATATATCTCATTATGCTAAAAGGTTCCCGGAAACTTTATGTGATACAAAATCATACGATCCAATTCATTTCGTTGCAAATTCTATATTTTAATAAGAATAATTCATTAATTTTATTAATGAACTATTCTATAACAATGGGACTTTTGACGATATTTTATTAAATTATTCGAATAAATTAACATATTTTTATCTAAATGCCAAACAGAAACAATCTTATAATAATAATAATACAGAACAAATTACTTATAACAAATGGTAGCAATTGAAAAATTGAATTATAAACATATCTTTGTAATGCTTTTGGTTCAAGTGCAGTAGTTTTTCGTCCTTGTCATTCCAGTGCGACACGGTTCTCTAGTATTTGGCGTCAAAAGTTGGAACATTATCTTTATTTTTTTTTAAATCTTTAACGTTAATTATTCAACAGTATTTGAATATTTTATTTATTTAACTTTAACAACATGAGACTGTTTGGGTGGATTACATTAACATTGCTGAAAATACTCTAAATATTAGCGAAACAAAGAGGTGCCTTCGAATTTTTTCGGTCTTGTTGGGTCTCGGATAGCTCAATATTTCAAAAGGTTATGGATTCAAATCATATCTCGGAGTTATTTTGACTGGATAATGTCTATAAAGCATATTTCTTTAAGTTTCGCATAAAATCTCGTTATTGATAGCATGACTTTATGAGATAAAAAAATTCAATCCGCATTCCGCACCCATTATCCAACATTTTTCTATATTTATTTTGTTTCAGACTTCATGTTACGAACGTATAGCGAAAAGAATAAGTTCAATAAACAAAAAGGGTTTTTAAAGTTTTCAAGAAAGTACGTTTTAATAAACATTATACTGTACTAAAGAATGCTGTTCTTTTATATAACACTTACCTCTTCAAGTCGTAGCGGCTCCTCGAGGCCGGCAGCTATCCTCTCTCGCTTTTCCCGTTCTTTCCTCTCTTTTTTCTCCCGTTTGCGTCTTTCCTTATCACCATCTCGCTCTTCACATGCTCCGCCATCACCACCCGTTAAAACGGTGGACTTCTTTATGAAGTTAAACATGGCGGATTATCCTGGAACAAAGTTACAATAAAAACATTGAAAAGTACTACTTTTAATTTTATGTTTTTTTGTATATTTTGAAATAATTGTATATAATAATTATCAATCTCAACGATAATAATAGAAAGACAGTTTTTTAAAGAAGAGCTCGAAAACGCAGTGGTAAGAACTACGATGCGGAGTTTAAGCATTTCATAAAAGCCATTAATCGAAGGTGTGTTAAAAATAATGTCTTTAGCTCCTCCGTGCTTCGAAAGGTACGCTAGCACGTTAATTCCGGCTGCATCTGTCTATATTTACAGGCCATATTTGTGGAAAATATTAGACGTTATAAATAACATATGAGCAAAAAAAGATCGCGCGCAAAAATCACATTTGAAAATCAGCCTATAAATCTCCATCCGTCTCCAACCAGTGTCAATTTAAAGTCTTCCGCGCATCAGGATCCAATAAAATAATAAAATCTGTACTGAACATCAGTTTACTACGTTCTTTTTTAGGCCCGTGGAACCAAAATACACTATTAATTTTAATTCTCAGAAGCATCTACCTAACAATGTACCTATGTATATTCCAAGAATTTGAATACACGCTCCCTACCTATGCTAGTAAAAAGGGTCACATACAACTATTACGCGTATAACATAAACAAACAGCTTACTTGATGTTGGCCTAAATTCTTTCCAAACGAACAATTGTTTGCGTCCTACTAAACATAACAGTTCAAAGGTATAACATATGCCAGTATCTTCATGTGTGTACAAAAATTATCTTCTAGTCTTTAAAACTTGATTCTGGACAGTTAAAGTTACCTAAATATTAGTTGTAGTTGATTGATCTTAGCTCAATATTGTCCATAGTGACAAATCATTTCATTAATGCAAACATTAACTGTTTCTCGTTTCTTTGCTCTCTAATAGATCTGCATTTAACTTTCTATCAGATCAAAGTGGATTTAATTTTCAGTGATTTCGGTTTAAAAAATCTAATCTTTTCACAAAGTATTCTAACTACGTTTGTAATATGAATAAATATACTAATGTTTGCCTAATATTTATGGCCAGTAGATCTGTGTACATTTCTGAGGTTTCATTAGCCGCGTGCCATCACAATGGAATACCGTTACTAGCTGGAATCAATGCAAAGCCATCTAAGCTAACTGTCACCGGTATGATTGTGTTCTGAATTTAATACGAGCACGCTGCTCAGCGTACAAATCGAATGTCTTGACATATGTCATGAGTACGCACAACAAATCACATTTACAATTCCTACATTAGATCAATAAAATGTCTACTGCTAGGCACTTCTATAACTTCCATCTCGATGTTATAAACATGCAATAATTTCAAGATGAGATTTACTTATCGACTATTCAGTTTTATAATTCGTTTCTAGTGATTTTTACTCATAACATAGATAGACATATTGATAAAACCAAACATATTTTAGGAGAAAAGACCCAAATAACAAATTGAATAGAAACTCAGACAAATTTATTATGAAATGCAGTTCGGTTGAAACTTTTGGCTAGCACACCAAATGGCCTTTGATCTATTTTAGGATTACCGTACCGATATCTCCAAAACTATTTTGATCCAGTTGTAAATACAGAAGTACAATATTTACAAACACTATATGACGTTTGATGTACCGATCATTATGCTGAATACTTTACGATATTTTTGTTGGAGTATAGTATTTGTATTCTTTATCAGTGTGAAATAATAACAATAGGTAGTGTATTTAGAACACTTTCAATGCTTATTGTGTTTAAAATATAAATCGATGGATATATCGCGCCAAACTCATGACGCATAAGATCTGACTAAATCACGTAAAATGAGGTCAACGTCTTCTTTTTACATTTTGTAACAACCTCCGTAGCCAAAGTTGTTAGCATCCAAGGTGCCGGGTTCGATTTCTGGACAGATAAATGTCGAAAATTTACTTTTCTGTATTGTCTCGGGTCGTGTGTTGTGGTATCATTGTTACAGCTTTAGCTATTCATCTTTTAATCTTAGTAATCTAGTTACCGCTAAAGTATTACTATTGCATTAAATATAACCCAAGCTCAATTTTCATTGGTGTGGCTGGTCCAGCGATTACGCATATGTTCCCGGTTGCCACTCCCAACTGAGGATACTTCCAGGGTTTTTAGTGGTTCTTTGATCTGCTCGGTGTACCTGGTCCACAAGGTAGGTCAGTTTGTGGAGAAGAGGCCGGCACACCCCGTTCCACCAGACGGCAGGGATAGTGCGTAACACATTCTTTGAGTTAAAAAAAGTAGGTATAACGTAATCAGCTTAAATCCACGACGTAGTTCGCGTAATATTACTTCGGGCATTCCAAAAACGCTAAAACTTGTCCAAATACGCTAAAGCTTGCTTTTGAGCAGCAAGCAAACAGTTTCATCTTGAACAACGACGGATATCAACCGACCAAACTCTTTTTTCGCGATCGTACCCTCGGTTCGGTAGTTTAGCAAAGCGAAAGACAGAGTTACTTTCGCATTAATAGTATAAGTACGGATATTTCTTTAATTTGTACAGGCATTCCACTTTTTTTTTAATAAAACCATTGAATTTGATAACTGGTGCCACCTAATTACAGAAACTAATGAATCTGCAAAGATAAGTGCGCTCAAAGAACCATTGTAAGCACTTGAAAATAAAAGGCAGTTAAATATCATAAACTAATGTATAACATAACATACGACTTAATAAGTTGCACACGTCATCTTCCAACAACACAGAGGAGCGTAACGTCATGTTACGTGCCCTGCCTCACAATCTGGGAATACAGGAATACATTACGGTCAGTGGGCATTGGCCTGGATCGTGATCCAGACTCGGTGACGCCACGTGTACACTTAGGGTGGGAATTCGTGAGTTACATATCTAATCCACATACAAATCAACAGCTTCTCGCTAAATGATTTAAAGAGGAAACGAAACGAATTTAAAAACAAATGGAAACCATTGTTTATAAAATGTATTATCTTATTATAGTTGATGAATTTTGCATTCCCAATGCTATAATTGAAAATATTCTTATAATCTTCACTTTTTCATTGAGATGGGATTATCTCAGAGTGCCAGAGACAAAGTGGATTTTTTAAACATTTTTGTTAAAAATATTTAACATATTTTCATATGTCATTGCATTCCACTAATGCATTTATAATATCAAGATATTTTTAACGACTAAATACAATATACTAATAATATTAAAAATGGTAATAATGAATAAACTTTTAAATTGAAACAGTTGAATTACAAAGCAGGATAAGGGTTGTTGCTGTATGTACGTAGAATTCTTTTTTATCTTTAACATTAAGTTTGGCAGAATTATAGGTATGAATAAAAATAAGTTATAAAATTTTGTTACCTATAAATAATAATAAAATAACGAAACTATTACAGGGCGAAAGAAACTTCCAATATGCTTAACGATAGAAACACAAAGATAATTATAAAGAATAATAGTAAAAGAAATCCTTCTACGATTCAATAAAATGTTATGATGCTCTGGCGAATCCAAATGCTAACCTTGAGAAAATTGAATTTCGAAATTGCATATTATTTTTTATTTTGCATATTTCGTATACTATTAATTGTGCATTAATTATTTAAGATTAATGAAGGAGCTAATTATTTATTTAATCAAAGCCTTAACCCCGTAATACCTACATTATTATAAGGTCAAAGTAAACAGAATCCATGTCAAAGCACCAATCAGGCGATACTCTAACACAATATCTTCTCATTGCGTATTCTATAAATAGACACTCGTTGACTCATTCACGCGTTCTGTTGTCTTGAATTAATCTTTTTACCATGTGATAATGAGACGTCATTGTATACAATAACAAAAAGGAATCCATCGTAAAGCCGTGACGGAACGGTTTCAGTTTATCACAAACGTATCGTATAATAATAGTTTCAATTGTCCGGTTTATATCGTTCCTATCGTACATCTTGTCTGTATGAAAAAAGTCTCATTACAATTACTTTTTAGCTTCTTGACTGTTGATATTATAAGTCTATCGACAGTGTTTGACAAATCTTCGAAATTATGAAGGCTACCTAATCATTTAATATGAGTAGCACCTCTATTCTTCGAGTTCTAGGTCATCTGCTTTGTATAATAAGAATTTTGTGAAAGACCCCAGCCGTTAATCTAACGTGATCAGAATTACTGATGCCTTTTAAATAAACTACTCTAAAATTATTTGTCCGCACGCTATTTATAACATTAACGGTACGTAGCTTTGAGAAAATGAGAATAATGATGATGTTTATAGAAGCCAACTTTGAGAGAATTAGTCAAAATTATGATATTTTAACATTGAAAGCCAAAATTTAGATGAAATTTGTCAATTTTGAAGACTAGGCGCAACACTACCTGTAATTGAGAACAAAGTAAACTAAAGAAGAATAAGAATTAATAAGGCTTGAGTATTACGAAGAAGAAACAAGAATAGCTTCTTTCAAATTAAAGCAAGAGATGAAGTCAGTGTAATGAGTTAATTATAGTCATAATTCGCAGGGCTCTTGTGCTATCACGAGAAAATGGCAGCCTAGTCAAACATTACGTAACCTACCAAGCTGCTAAGGTGTGGCAAATTTCCGCCACGCTCCGTTGATTATGTACAGAAAGTAAGTATAGCAGCAATTAAACAAGCTGGCTAGTCCACCTAAAAACTCCCAAATAACCGGCTTGGCTACAAATCACTGAACATCCATCACTAAACCTTTTTGAAATGATTGAATGAATCTCGACCATTAGTTTGTAATTCAGGAGTTTTCAAAACCTTTAAACATAGAAGCATAGATTGGGCTCATGCTCTTAAAATGTATAAAGCTTATATTATACGTATCTATGTAAGATCACTGACTTTCACTGTATTTAACGAGTATAGTAAATTTTGCAAGGAAGTATTTGGAAACGATTTCTTTAGTCAGTACACACACACACAAATTGTATTATAAATAGATCAGTCATTAGGAAAGCTTTAATACACATAAGTTGTGTCATCAATCAACTCTTCGTGAGTTGTATTCAATTGATATCTATAAAGACATTTTTACTTTGTAATTGGTTACTGCCATCGTCATCCATACATAATACCTAATGACGAAGCACACACATCTCAAGTGTACGCTTCATACTTGTTTAATTAAATGTGAGCTTGGTTAAGGCAAAGGTATATATTATCGATTCATTACTGTACCGTTAGAAAAAAAAACATCCTCAAATATAAATTACAATTGCAAGAATAACAATATATTCCCCCTAATTAAAATTAAATAAAAGTAGTTTATCAATTTTTATTTCAGTTAGTTAATATCCATTCTTCTTATATGAAAAAAAAATATATTTTGAAATACATGATAATGATATTTCAATAATAAATCGGTGTGATTAGGGACTAGGCTTACTTTAGAACGGGTCAGACTTTACTTGGACAAAAATTCTATCCAATATTGAAAACCGTTGCATGATTTAGGCCGAGTTGATAGAGGCGAAGACAGATTTTAATTTATACTATGCGGTCACTGTGATAATAAAATTTTAATTTGACCGAATAAGTCATTATAGATAAATAATAAACACTCACAGGTAACTCCCACCCAAAAACATGTTTTCAAGTTTCTTGATTAGACGTTACTATCTCCAAAATCCTAAAAGGTCTCGATTATGGAAGTATAAAAAAAAAATGTATACAAAAAATAAACAGAATGTCGACTCTGTATATTTATTGTTCTTCCAAAACCAGTCTAATTTTCTGCCGATACAAAAACCTCATAGTAGGAGCATTGAAACAATTCGATTCGCACGCACGCCGCGGCATGGAGTACGTAGCGTTGAGTTCAATCACCACCAGATTACACAATTGACTTCATACGCACGATGGCTTTTTCATCTTTTGCCACCCACACAGATATGCCAATATTAAGAATTGTCGGAAGAAGGCAAAAAAGTATACTTGCAAGAAATAAGTCTGTCACCGACATTAATAGATACAACTACTGTGTAAAAACGCTCCTGCTATTAAATCAAAGCAGTAAATGTAAACAGTGAACATAGCCAAAATATCAATATATTGCAACTAGTGATACATCGGCAATTATTAATAGTCAATGATAAGTATATCCGTGGTGAAGCTGGTGCAAAAAGTTGAATTTTCTATTGGATTTGAGTGAACAAAAAACTTGTGTACCCTATGTGCTAAATATTAACAGCTGACAGAAGTATCTGAACGATACGCGTAAGTGACACCGACTGCACGGCGCTTACGTCGTTTCTTTCGCGGGGATTTAATACATCGCATGTGATGGGCCTATATTAAAGTGCTCTGAACAGGTGGGCCGTTGTTACCGTACCGCACACGCGTCCACTACCACGATACAAAGCGACGGTTAAGCGATACCGCTTCTGTGACATTACCTTTGAGAATCTCGACATTAAGGTAAACTAATTGCTTCTTTTGTGCATTGCTTAATATTGAATTGCTTCACGTCTTGAATAAGATGGCCTCAGCTTTGAATAAGATGGCTTCGGGCGACGTTGTGTGTGCTGGATGCCTTAACACAATAAATTGTCATCAACATCTAAAGTGTAGTATTTGCATGGAGTTTTTTGATTTGATGTGTGCGAATGTTTCGGAGTGTCGCTTTGTCAATACTATGACTTCCACTCATAAAGCCACTTGGAAATGCCAAGCGTGCAAGTGCAAAGAACCAAAGGGGGATAACTCTAATACTCCGATCCGACAAACCGCTAGCTTGCAGGTTATACAAAATGTCCCTCGAGAGAGCTTGGACAATGTTACCATCCGTCGTCGTGCACCGGAGAGCTCCAAGGATCAGTCCTTCATGCAGTCATGTCCTGAGGATGCTATTTATGTGGACCACATTAAAGAAATCATCCGGGAGGAACTGGAGCGCAATCTTCGTGAATACGTTGAGGGGGTTATATCCAAGAGAGTTTCTGAGCACATCTCATCCATTATGGTTACCATCTCGCGTCTAAGGGAAAGATTATCTGCACTGGAGCATCGAGTTGTAGTGCTTGAGTCGAGCGCTCTCTCCCAGTCTCATATCACGGAATCTCCATTAACATCAATCATAGACCAAGAAGTAACTATGAGTCGTCCACAGGATAGTGCGCCTAAGAATAATAGTGACGCTTACGTTGGCAAGGACCTCATGGCTCCTTTAATATTGGAGAGGAAGGCCGTAGCGAATCGCCCGCTCTCTAAAGTTGAAACGGTCCCTTTAGTCTCGCAACAAAAGACCTCGCTGCCGCACAGACCGTCTGTGGTTTTTAAAACCTTAACAGAACATCAAGGGGAATGGGTTGAAGTGACTAAGCACCGTCGGCGCAGTGCTCCCCAAAATTTGCTTAAGGGGAGGGCGGCTCCAGGAAAAACTGGCTTGGAGGCATCTGAACGTATTCGTAGCTATCACCTTTTTTTTGTTAAGATGGGTACGACTGTTGAACAAGTCAGCGGACATATAAAGTCGATAATTAACAGTGATTGCTGCAGGGTTGAGGCATTAAAAGCTCGTGGTCCCTATGCTTCATTTAAATTATCTCTTCCATCTAGATTGTCGGATCGATTGCTGGCGGCAGATCAGTGGCCGGAGGATGTCTGTATAAAGCCCTGGCGAAAAATTTTTCGTCCCAGAGAGAAACCCGAAGCAAACTAATAATTCCATGGCAGATTCCTCCGGGGGGCGTCATCTTTCTGACGAGCGAAAACAACACGCTGACAATATTACGTCACCTCTACAGTTAAACATTTTTTACCAGAATGTTAGAGGCTTAAAAACTAAATTGGCTTCCTGGCACACCAGCTTATTGCTTTCCGAGCACCTGCTCGTGGCTGCGACTGAGACTTTTCTAGACAGCTCAGTAAACGATGCTGAGCTGGTTCCGGAAGGGTGGACGCTGATAAGGCGCGACCGCAAGACTCCTTGCGGAGGAGTTTTACTTGCTGCAAGGCCTGGTGTCGTGGCGCACCGTCGACAGGAGCTTGAGTCTGAGCTCGGTGAAGATTTGTGGGCTTCTGTCTCATACCGTGGGACTTCTTTTACTGTTTGCGTTGTATATGTCAGGCCGAAGTCTTCTGACGCAGTATATATGAATGTTTTGTGTAACATAGAATCATTTTTAACGATTAACGCTAATGCTAGTATATTTGTTGTAGGTGACTTGAATCTGAACAGTTCATCTAATAGTATTAAGAGTTACTATTGTTACTTTTTGAGTTATTGTAATTTAACGGACTATAATGACATAGTTAATGAGCATGGTAGCATACTTGACGTGGTGTTGGCGCGGGAGTGCAATGAATCGCGATCGTGGAAGGTATTTGTGAGCTTAGCTGTAGAGGGTTTTGTACCTCCTGATAAGTTGTATCATCCCCCCCTAGAAATCGAGTTGAAACCCCGTTTCCAGATTAGATGCCGCGACCGATTGAGACCGAGCAATATTAATTTATCACTCGATTGGAACTTTAATAATATTAATATCTCTCTCTTTAAAGCTCTAGTCGCTGATGTTTCCTGGGAACCAGTTCTCGAGTCTAATGATGTGTCCGTTGCTACGGATGCATTCTACGACATTATGTACCGGATATTCGATGATTCCGTTCCCAAAAAGCGAAGATCCTCTGCGGCATGCGGTAGGTATCCTGTTTGGTTCGACGCAGATATTATAAAAGACATCAAGCGAAAGTCTCGCTTACACAGGGCATGGATATCAACAAAGTGTGTAGAATCATATGATGCATTTTCGAAGTTACGAGCGAATTTGAAAACGCAGATCTCGCAGGCATACGGAGTCTACCTGGCACGCATTGAGGATAATCTGCAACTACGACCCCAAGATTTTTGGAAGCACGTTCATCGGTTAAGGTCAAAGGGTGGCTTTGAGCCTCGGGTTTTGTATAGAGGGGCCACTTATACAGGTGTTGAAGCTGCCCAAGCGTTTGCTGATTATTTCTCCAGCGTTTTCTTGGATGAACCACCTTTACTTACTGGCAACACGTCTCTTGAAGAGGGTTATCAGGGTGGACATGTCAGTTTACCGACCTTGACGTCACGTAATATCAAGTACGGAATTGGTAGGCTGAAGCCAGATAGTTCGTTGGGACCTGACAATGTACCTGGTTCCATCCTTAAGACCTGCAGCAGACAGGTAATCATCCCTTTATGTCACATTATGAATCTCTGTCTGAAGAATGGTAAATATCCCGCCCAATGGAAGCTGTCTAGGGTCACACCTATACCCAAGGGTAAAAATAGAAATCTTGTAGATGAATACCGCCCTATAGCAATTTTATGTGCCACTGCTAAGGTCTTCGAATATATACTGCACAAGGAAATTTATAACCAGGTTAAACAACTGATAGGCGATGAACAGCATGGTTTTCGGCCAGGATACTCTGTTAATACGAACCTACTTTGTCTGGTTGACTATATTTCGGATGCTATGGATCGCGGGCGACAGGTTGACGTAGTATATTTTGACTTTCAAAAAGCCTTTGACAGAATAGATAACGACATATTACTGCATAAACTCTCGATTATTGGCTTTGCTCCCAATCTCTTGAACTTCTTCTCTGACTTTTTGAGGGACCGAAGACAATATGTAAGGCACGGTGTTTATGTATCCGAGGAATATCATACCAGATCTGGTGTCAGCCAAGGCTCAGTCCTTGGTCCACTTCTCTTTCTGATTATGATCCATGATCTACCTAAAATCTTAAGTACTGCAAAATGCCTCATGTACGCCGACGACTTAAAGCTATTTCTTGAAATCCACTCTCCTTGTGACTGCCTCTCTTTACAGCAGGACATCGACAGAATCTATGAATGGAGTGTGTTAAACAAAATCCAATTTAACCATGCCAAGTGTAATATTATGACTTTTGACCGTAAAAATAATCCAATAAAATTTGTTTATAACATGAATACCTTATGCATTAACAGGGTCAACTATGTTAAGGATTTGGGAGTTATATTTGATCGTGGTCTTACTTTCCATGATCATATAACTCATATTGTCAAGGATTCTTATCGCCATTTAGGCTTTGTATTACGAAATGCCAAAGACTTTCAAAATCCTCAGGTCTTTAAAACATTATACAATTCTTTGGTTAGAAGCAAGCTTGAAACGAGCGCTTGCGTTTGGAACCCACATCATGTCACCTATGTGCAGATGCTCGAGAGGGTCCAAAAAGCCTTCTTGAGAGCATTTTATAGGAAATTCTACGGGTATTATCCGTCTCGCTATCCAACCAAGTTTCTGCTCGGCCATCTCGGCTATAATTCCCTGGAGGTAAGAAGATTGTTGGATCAGCTTACCATTTGCCTCAAAACTTTAAAAGGTTCTGTCGATTCCCTGTTCTTACACAATCTGCTGTGTGTAATCTTTGTCCCTGACCGACCGGAACTCCCACCCGTCGGAAGGCGCGGTTGCAGTCGGCAACATAATTTGTTTCATGTTGATAGCGGCCGTACCTTAGCACGTGCAATGTCGCCCTTAGTTAGGCCTCTGCGTCACCTCAATGCACTTCGTGACGCCAACACCGATTTCGATTTTTTGTTTGACAATTGGGAAAATATCAAGCGGCAATTATTGACGTACTGTGAGAGTGTAAGGGACCAATGGAGTAACTCTGGTATCTCTGACAATGAAGATAGTGACTAGTATTATTTAATGTAATTGTTAATTTATTGACCTATTTTATTTATGACTTACTTATTTTATGTGTGATAAATTTTAATTATTTTAATAATCAATGTGAATTGTTAATTTTATTCTTTTTTGTAATGTGTGATAATTGTAACTGACAAAAGTCGTTTTTATCACAATAATAAATAAATAAATAAATAAATAAATAAATAAATAAGGCTCTCAGAAGTATACCTTACATTTAATCATTATAATAGTTTTGAATAATACCCAGGAATTATTTTTTTTATGTAAATAATGGATAATGGAAAGTAACCTAATAGTATAATAAGTTAATGAAGAGGCATCTTTTTTTTCTTCGCTGAGTTTCTTGTCAGTTTCTTAGTGCAAGGTCGTCCCGTCATAGAATTACCATGGTGAATAGGATTTCCACAAGTTCTAGTAACAGACTACACTGAATAAATGATACGATTTATTTGTAGGTACTACAAAACCAAATGATTTAGAAATTGAAATAAAGCAATTTATAAACTTAAATACATACTTCAGCACGACATATTGATCAAATAAACAGCAAAACGAAAGATAAACATACCTAGTATTGGAATTATGTAGAACATATCGAATTAAGTCATGAAAGGAGTTACCGTATGTGTACTAAATTACCATTCGTAGATGTAATGCTGCATATGAAGCCCATATCTTAAACTCCCATTTAACGTTTCACTTTAGCTTTCACCGTAAACATATTATTTCTACTAGTTAATGATAATACTGTAAAAGTTGAGTCCGGTATACAGCAAGAACTACTATAACCAACGATGAACGATAAACTATTACCCATTTGTAACACAAACGTATTGGCTTACCTAAAGGGTGAATGAAAATATTAAAATTAAAGGCTTTAATTAAATCTAAAGCTTTCCTATTATAAAGGTAATCATCTCGAATAACGAGCATTACCTGGTCTGAACGTAATAATATTACAAATGTGAATGATTTCTGACGAAATTTACTGTCTTAAATCTCATAAGTAATACCAGGTGAAGGTAGAATATAATATAAACCTTGACTTTTTACCTCGTAGCTTTCGAAGATACTAATGATTGCTCATGTATTAAATTATCTTAAACGGATTAAACTGATAAGTTTCTAAAGACAATTCTCACGGAAGCTATCTGAACGGACATCATAGGTGTAATGCGAGCAGGAAAAATTCTGCAACTATATACGGGATTGCTCGTCCGAGACTTTGCTGCCGCGTGCCTTCTAACTATTCAGGGATAACTGAATGCCGGGGCTTGTATGAAATGTAAAGATTTATTGTAAAAAAATATATGATGTCCAATGCAATCTAAAATGGAGACCTAGTAAAATAATTAAGAGATACCACGATAACAGGAAACAATACAATGCTTTTAATATTAATATTTTGCATTGTTTTTATAAATCAAATGTACATAAATAAAATTTTATAAAGATGAATGAACTATTTAAGAACCTAGTGGTTGAACATAAAACCAATCAGACTTTCATAGTCAAATACTACAATCATACACACACTACATTATTTTAGTGCCTTTTTAGTAAGACAACAATGTTACTATTAGAATATTCGTTTGTGATGGTTTTTAACATTTAATAGAAACACAAACATTCTAATTGTCCAGAATTTTTCCAGAATCGCGAAGAGAAAAAACCTACACCGCTATTTTGTGGACATCTCTTCCAATTTTTAGCCCAAAATCCATAATACTATGAACATAAATATCCATCCAGAAGTGTGCAAATAACGCGTTTAGTAACATACAGCATTCAATTTATTGCATATATGTAGTTTGAATAACAATTATCATTAAATCAATCGATGTTATGTCTAGCTAGTCAAGTGTTATCGTTATTCTAATAGTCGTACACTCGATAACTGGACAAAAGGGACTGAAGCATAATCCAATTTAATTTGTAGTGATGGCTAGTCCGATCGAGTACGAGGCAATTTAATTGATGC